TACTACTACTACTACTACCACTAAAAGTCATACTAACCGTCATAAGAAAGTTGATAACAATAATTCCTGCAAACTAATAGCACCACTGCCACCACCACTGCCACGACTATCACTATCACGATCACTATCAGTACCACTGCTACTGCTGGTGCTGCTTGGCGCCGCAACCGCCATTACCAGAACCGCACCAGCACTATTGCTATGGAGACGATGACTGTTCCTACAAAGACGGCATATCTTAGCAAGGGTAGCAACACGCTTCCACAGTGCGGCACTGGAACTACTACTGATTTCGCCATACGCTACCCCCACTCCTCCTCTCCTACTCCTCCCCTTCTGCGCTCCTTGCAATTCCGTTGCCCTGTGAGCAGAACCTGTACTACTCCGGCAGTGCAAACAAGACATGAGACGCGACTTAGCCTTAAGTTCTTGGGGATGCACTTGTTGTTGCTGCCGCCATTGAGGCTAATGTTGTCGTGGCAGCTGTCGGCTACATTGGTGTTGCTTGCCATGACTGCAGCACAAACAAGACAAGCCCCAGTGTGGGCAAAGCTGAACTTTGCATTCATACAGTGACCTGGTGAGGGCTTCGCTGCCGCAGTTCGCTCGGTGCGCACTTCTGCCAGGATCTCTTGCACCTAAGACCGCAAAAGCGCAAAAGAACCACGAACGAGTTAAACAACACGCACGTGATGGTAAACAAATTTCGCGGCATCTATGGCACTCATCGACTGCCTCATACGATTCACCAATCATCTACCCAAGTAAAGGGGTGTGGTACTAATCAGCTGCAGGGAGACAGTCGGAATCAAAAGGGCCTTGCAACTCGTACTATAGAGCCGTTAAGATTAATTACAACAAGTTTCTTGGGCAGCTATACTAAGGAAGCGCAAGGAAGAGTGTTGTATGTACTAGTTATCCAAGATATTTTAAACCTTTTCGTTCCTGTCACCGACCTACCTGGCCGCAGAACTCTTAAACCTGTGCCGCGACGGCAGCCGTGACAAGATTGAGCTGTAATGCCTTGGTGTTTGGGGCTCTACGGTTTAAGTCTTACCTCAACCTAGCAAACCTACCTTTTTGTAGGTCCTTTTTATAAACCCGAACATGGAACTTATAGGGACCCTACGAAACAGTAGGTTTTGGTAGGTTGAGGTAAGGCTTTAGAGTTTGTGGCTTCGAGGTTTAGGGTTTAGCGAGGCACTGAGGGCACGCTTGGCTTGATGGATTGGGATCTAGAAAGGCAACACGGGAATTTCATCCTGTGCTCCGGTGAGCGGTTTAGAGCTTAGGGTTCAGGGTTGGGGTTTAGGGTTTAGGGTTTGGGTTTAGGGTTTAGGATTTGGGTATGTTTGGGTGTAGGGTTTTCAAGATACAGCCTGCCGCTCAAGTTCATGCGAAGTCCACTCCCCTGAGAAGGCTAGCAAGACATATGTTTAGAAATCCTTAACCCTAAAGCCTATAAAGGCACACCAAAACGGAAACAAGCAAAACCAAACCTACCCAAGAGCTTCAAAGTACGTACAAGTCGGAGAGCATGTAACGATCAGAGCTTCCAGACTCCTTATACATAGCTCATAAGTATACAATTAGATTCGAACAGAAAAGCATACGCATCTATCAATACCTCAAGACTTCTCCTCCAAGCCTCGTCATTTTCATCTGCTGAAACCACCGGCACAAAAAGCACACACAGAAATCCTTTCCCTTGCTCTGTGCTTGATATAGCCACGCATGGATGTCATTCTTGTAACTGATACTTAAACTATGCGTACGAAATGTATGAATCGACTCGTAACGAATGAATCGACTCGTAACCCCGACTATGATAAGTTCGCAAATCCGGTCCCGAAGCGTCATGCAATTCGCTCTATGCACGGCCTCGCTGGGTTTGCGTGGAGGCGGTGAGAGGCTAGCGGCCTCATGCTCTTGAGTCATAAACCCTAAACCCTAAACCCTAATCCTTAGTCCCTAATCCCCACCTCCAGTCCCTAACCTCGAAACCTAAACCCTAAATACTGCCCTCAAACGGCTATGCAACTTTAGGACCGGGGTGCCCCTACTAACGGATCATGGGGCTAGCAACTAGGGGAAGGGCTCAAGCAAGTTTTTCGCTATATTATACTTAATTTTATGCATAACCCCAATTAAGGTACACATAGCCCTACTGCCTTACTTACGAATTCCCATACCCTAAGCCCTAAACCCTGAACCCCTAAAGCCCCAAACCCAAAACACCCAAACCCGAAACCCCCAAAACCCCAAACCCTAAACCCCTAAACCCTAAACCCCCAAAACCCCAAACCCTAGACCCTAAACCCCCAAACCCCAAACCCCAACCCTAAACCCTAAACCCCCAAACCCTAAACGCCCAAACCCCAAACGCCCAAACCCCAAACCCTAAACCCCCAAACCCTAAACCCCCAAAACCCCAAACCCTAAACCCCCAAACCCTAAACGCTTAAACCCTAGACCCCCAAACCCTAAACCCTAAACCCAAGCAGGGCTTTGGGAGCAAGGGCTTCTCTACTGGTGGCTCCATGACATCTTCGGCTCGCGGCCTGCAAAAACACTTTGGGTTTAGGGTTTATGGTTTAGGGTTTAGGTTTAGGTTTAGGGCTTAGGGTTTAGTGGCTTCTGGTTTGGGGTTTGAGGTTTAAGGTTCAGGGTTTAAGATTTAGGGTTTAAGGTTTAGGGCTTGGGGTTTAAGGTTTGGGGTTGAAGGTTTAGTAAATTTAGGGTTTAGGGTTTAGACATCAAAGGCCCAGGACGAGGGATCTTGGCAAACGGCATCGAGGAAGGGTCGCTGCTCAACTTTCAGGCCGAAGCCCGAAACCATAAAAACTTAAACCTTAGGGTTTAGGGTTTAGGTTA